CCCCCACCCCAGCACCATCTCTGGCGCCTTCCGTGGGACACAGAGAGCAGCAATGTGTCCTGAAATGGATTTGTTGGGCAGTCCAGGGCTGTGCCCAGAAATCCTCATAAATTAAGGCAAGCGAGTTTGCCAGGGGAAGAGGGGTGGGCAGGAGTGGAGGGCACACTGGGAGCCTACTGAGCCCCAGGGACCTTAACACAGAGCTCATTTGTTCCTTCCCGGCCCCTGGGGAGCAACAGAAAGTGGCTTCCGCAGCTCAGAGAGGCCAAGTAACCTGTCCATAGTCACACAGAGCTGGGATTTGAACTCTTTTCCATCAGTGGGAAGCTTCAGAAATACTGAAAGCATGGATAGAAATGGCAGACCTTTGAGACTTTTCTGGGGCAGTCTTTGGGACTTGGGACATTCAGGGGCCAGCACCCACCTGCTCGAGGGTCTGCTGGGAGTGTGACGGGAAAGACAGGGGATACTCCAGCTGACCCACCCACACCCACCATCCCTTTTTGGACACCTCCATTCTGGCTGGCGGCCCAGCCCTTCCGGCTCATAGGCAGAAATAGCTGTGACAAAAGTCCCTCCCATCCCAGAAAGAGGCTTTTTAAGAAATGCTTAAAACAGACACACAGTAAAATAGAGAGCGCTTCACTCAGCCCGGCTGCAGGCAGTGATGCGGGCATCACATCGGAGAAATACGGAAAACTCACAGTAGCCAGCTTAGCTGTGCGGGTCAGCACCCTCAGGGTCTCAGTTTCCCCAGCTCTAAATAAAAGTACACAGCTGAATACGCTGTTTTCAAACTGAAATTTCCTCGGGCTACCCCTGGGGAATCCCAGATAAACAGCTGCTGGGAAGGACATGGGTTGGATCCCAGATTCTCAGCCTCCCGCTGTTCCTGCGATGACCCCCAGGGCTCTGAAAGGCCAGTCTAAAAATCACCACGTCCCTCTGGACTCTCAAAGCATCCTCCAGTCACCCCAGGCACCAAGGAAAACCAAGTCTCGCCATGGGCATGGGAGGGAACAACGCCGGCCACCTCTGAATCACAGTGGGGCTGGAAGTCCAGGAGGGCCACACGGGCTTGGACCATGGGCAGCACGTTCCTCGTAAGTCACTCTGCCCAGAAGGTGGCTATGCCAGCACTACCAGCCTGGGGCAATTTCTCCCACCAGCCTCTGGCAACATCCCGCACCACCAGGCTATCGGGGACTTTTCTTGACTTCTGCATATTTAGCTTCCTTCCCAGCCAATGAAGAGAGAAGAGGCTCCGAGAAGGCTAGCAGTTGGCTGGAGGTCACACAGCACACAGGGACAGAGTAGGACTTGAGCGTCCAGGTCCCCTGCATGCCAGTTTGCAGAACTCTCCACCTGTTTAAAGTTCAGACAGATTCAGCAGGAACCTCCCAGGGAAAGCACTCAGCCTGCAAACTCAGAACAGGGTATTTTGATGACACTGGGTGGTGACACAATGAAATGTTTGTTTTGGTTTCCAAATCAACGCTTGACAACCTTGTCCTCTATACAGTTTCGGTGACCACATTTCCCACGTGGTAAAGAGCTACCCGGCTGAGGGGAAACCAAAGACGTGGTGAGCAGGGCCAGAACTGGGCACCTCGGCCAGGAGCTCTGGTCTGGCTTAATATTTCCAAAGCACGATTCACGTACCACTAATGGCACACGAGATGATATTATGTGGTACATGCCTGAACTTTAAAATTTAAAAGGTATTTGGTAAATGAATAAGCAAAATCTGGACAGCATTAATTAGCAATAAAAAGCAACATTCTACATGCTACACTACCGACAACTTCAAGAACACGATCTCAGTGAAAGATCTTGTCACACAGGCTACATAGTGCATAAATCACTTGTACGAAATGTCCAGGAAAGGCAAATCCATAGAAACAGATGGTAGATCAGTGATTGCCAGGGCTGGGGTGGGGATGAAATCCATCACCAGACAGGCACAGAGAATCTTTGAGGGGGGTTACATGTGTCCTAAAACTGGATTGTGGTGATGGCTATGTAATTGTGATTTTCTAAACATCACTGTTATCCTTAAAGTGGGTGGACTTGTGATAGGCGAATTATGTCTCAGCAAAACTATAAAATGACTCCATATAACTAGCAGTGCGGGTAGAGTACAGAATAGGGCCACAGATGATGGATATAGGACCCCAAGACCCCCAGCCTGAAGAGCGCTGAGCTATGGGTGTTGCATTGTTACAGAGTCAAGAGGGAGTCTCCAGCTCCTGCAGGTGACCACAAGAATCCCTGGAGTCTTTTCCTTTCCTGGCCAATGACACTCCATTGGCCCCTTCTTGGGGTCCATTCTAGATACCCTGGAAGGACCTGAAGCTTTTGGTGGCCAATTTCTGGAGATGAGACCTTAGCCTCATCTCCCTGGCCATGATTTCTCTTATGGGGAGGGGACTCAAGGTGGGCAGTGAGCTCAAACTCAGATTTACATATTATCAAAGCCAGGAAAACCCTTTGGTATAGCCAAGTGGTCATTAAACATTCTTTGTAGTTCATTGTACGCTCACCTTTCTCCAAAGTAAAAATCTTGTAAGAAACCCCACAGAAGAAAAAGCAGACTGTTACGTGTAAATTTATACCAAAAGCTCCAGTACCTGTCACTATCATCTTAAACTCAATTGTCATGATTAACGAGGCTCTTTCGATGCATTAACACTGAAGAAGGGGACTATGGGTGACAATTTCTTATTCAGGTTACCTCTATCCCCAGTTTCAGCTGCAAACCATGAAAAAGATCTTGTCACACGCACAGATGAATAGCTGTGAATGGGAATCGTTTTAAGCAGCTTGCAGAGTAATCTGGGAATACTCTTCAAGCAAACAGAATTCAAGGCCAACCATTAGAAAGTTAGCACATTAATAGAATCCGGTAAGACAATGTTAAGAATTTAAGAGTGAGTGGGAATATTCTTATGACTGAATTACCATCTAGATGTATTTTAAATAATTTTATGAAGCATTCAAGGAACCCCAAAAGCACCAGGGCGGAAGCTTGGGACTCTTCAGAAGAATAGTTCTAGCTCAAGGGATGCTTGCTTTGGAAAAATCTAACATGAACCCTTAAAGATGGGTCTTTTCAATTAAAAAAGAAGGAGAAGAAGGAGGAGAAGGGGAAGAAGAAGAAGAAGAAAGGGAAGAAGGAAATGAAGAAGGGGAGGAGAAGAGGGAGGAGGAGAGTGCACACACCCCACAGAGGGAGGAAGAAGGATGCCCGCACCCCACCTGTCTCAGCAGCACCGGCTCATTCCAAGCCGGTGCCAGAAGCTGATATCACACCCCACACCCTGAGTGCAACTTGGACACAGCATTGCTCAACCCCAACCCACCTCATTGTGACACCGGGCATCTCCTTAGCAGCCAGGTCCAAAAAGCACACACACAGTAAAACAAGCCCAGCGTAAGCCTGTGGCATGACGACACAATCAACAGTGGCAGACGGGAGGGCCCAGCCCTCCCCTCCCTGAGTTTCACCATTAAAAAAGCAATTGTCTCTTTCTCTGGATTGCCCAGACAAGGCTGACCACCAAAGGCACGGGAGCGGCCTCTCTACAAAAAGAACCAGGCCATTCTTAGCTCTCTAGAGAGCAAAGCATTCCAGGGGAGAAGCTCATCCCCCAGAAGGCCGGCCTTAGATGGGAGACCAGCCCAACAGCTCCAGGCAGTTTTGCTCCCTGCTAGCTGAACAAAGTGTATATCGTGGTTAATAACATCCCCTTGATTATTTTACACCTGGCCAAAAGCATTAAGCTCTTACTCTCCCCTTAAGCAACTGTGGGTGGATTTTACTATTGCCGTTTCTCTGATGAGGAAACAGGCTTGCCAGTGATTTGACATTCTCTCCAGCAGGAGCTGCAGTTAGCACCTAAACCTTTTCATAACTGTTACAAGGAAAGAGACCCATGCCAAGCTCCCTGGGCAGACTTTAAGGATGAAATAAACAGCCTTTGGTTCAGCGCCATGGATCCAAATGCAGAGTTGACAGCAGCCCTTGGTCCAGCGGTCCCTCTCCCACACAGGCCTGAGACTCTACACTCAGACCCTTCTCCTCTTATCGGAAAGCAGAGCAGACACCAGCACCCTCAGCCAGGTTGCAGGCAGGAAGCACAGTCACTATCCCAGCCAGAGAATCTGGGCTGGGCAGGAACACACTAACCAGTCCTGCGGGAAGTGTGTCCCCAGCTCCAGCCCGAGTCTTGTGGCCTGGGTCCATCCAATATCTTCCAGCCCAAGGTTATTTCCTCCTGGGGGTCTCTGGGGCTGACTTCACTGGGGCTCAATAAACCCTAAGACTCAGGGCATGTGGAGAAGAGCAGGCATTTTCAGAAGCTTGTAGCCAGTCTGCTGCAGCTGTGCTTCTCCAGGCCAGCGATCTGGACCTTACAGAACTGATAGCAGACCCTGGTCCAAGAAGATAGGGACTGATCCATGCATTGTCCTATACATGATCTTATTTAACTTCAGGAATAAAAAGGAGTGGGATTTTTTTAATCTATTGAGGGAGGGGAACCTACATCCCACATCTTTGGGAGAAATACTTAAATCAAATCCTGACTTCACCGTGTATCGGCCAAACTGCCTCAGGCAAGTCACTTTGAATCTCTGCCCCTCAGTTTCCTCCTCTGCAAAATGGGATGAGACAGCCGCACACTGCACTGTCGTGAGGACCAAATGAGATCATATACATCGCTGGATATTACGTCCTTTAGGAAAGAATGTGTCCAGACCAGTGACGGTCCTCCCAGGATCGTCCCACTGTAGTCAGCAACCGGCCCATTCTCAGATCTAGGTAACCGAGTCTCCCTCCCTTGTAGGAGGCTCCGCAAAGCCAGCTTGCAGCCCACCTGCCAGGCTCAGCCATCAGCCGGCCCTCCCTCCTCAGTCCCCTCCCGCACACACGCAAGCCACGGCCGCCGAGCCTGGGCGCCCCCTCCAGGACGCAGCGGGGGAGGGGAGGCCCCACTCACCTCCGCTTGTACTCGTCGCGCTCGCGCTTCACCTTGGCCAGCACGTTGTATAGCGCGCGGATCTCGGGCGTGATGGTGTCGATCTGCACGCCCACGCCGTCAGGGTGCACCCACGACACGCCGGGGCCCTGCACGGTCTCCACGCCGCCGCCGCCCGTGCGCCGAACCTGCGTGTAGCTCCAGATGGTGCCGGGCAGGCGACCGTAATGCTGCGGATGCGAGCCGCCGCCGGGGGGCAGGCCGCCCAGGGCCGCGGCGTTGGCGTTGGCGTTGGCGTTGGCGTTGGGGCCGGGCGCCGGGGGCCGCAGCAGCTCGGGGCCGGTCTGTACGGCCTGCTCGCGGGAGAAGGTCTTGTAGCGCAGTCGCCGGTCGCGCTCGCTCTGCTGCTGCTCCAGCTGCTTCTCCAGCAGCCGGTTGCGCCGCTCCAGCTCGTGCACCTTGGCCAGGAAGCAGCGGAAGCGCACGTTGAGCCCCTTCAGGAGGTGGATGTTGGAGCCCAGGTCGTCCCGCAGCGCCGCGGTCACCGGCGATGGCCCTGGCCCAGCCCCGCCGCCGCCGCCGCCGCCTCCTGGGCATCCGCCGCCGCTGCCGCCGCCTCCGGGCGGGCAGCCGAAGGCCAAGGCCATCTCCCCGAAGAGCAGCGAGTTCACCATGCGCCGGCTGCGCGGCTCAGGGCCCCGGGCCCGCGGCTCCAGGTGCGGCTCCAGCTCCGGGCAGGGCTCCCGGCGCGGCCGGGCCAGGGCGGGCGCGGGCTCCAGTGCGGCCGGCCGGAGGTTCCAGATGCGTGCCAGATGCGGCCTCCGCAGCAGTGGCGGGCCGGACGGTCCCGAGATGCGGGTGCCGAGGCGAGGGACACACCACCACCGCTCCCGGGGTGCAGAGGAGGCCGCGGGGCTGCACGGAGCTCCAAAGGTCTTCGATCCCACCGCCGGCGCTGTCAGAGGCGATGTGCAGGGGCCGCGGCAGCCGCGCGCGGAGGACTCGCCAGCTCTGCCCTTCTGCGGAGGGCCCCGCCCACTGCAGACCTTGGCCCCGCCCCCGGGCCGGCCCCCCACCCACCCCTCCACCCTCTGCAGCGTTCCCCGAGCACTGGCTCCGCCCTCAAAACCCGCAGCGCCCGACCACGCCCACAGACTGCGGCCCCGCCCATCCTTGGCCCCGCCCCCTTCTCCGCGGCCCGCTCGGGTGCTGCAACTCTGGCTCCGCCCCGCTCCGGCTGGGCCACGCCCTCTCCTACGTCCGGTCCCTTAACTCTGTGCTGCTTTGAGTCTCTGCCCCAGAATGTGGACCGCAGAGATGCACCAAGGACGGCTTGGCTGGAACCGACGCAAAGCCGGCCCGGCCTCTTAAAGGGGCCGGCACTTTGCCAGCGCTGGCTTCCCCACTTAGGGAGCCCCCTCCCCCACCTGTCTGCAGAGGAGGCCCTGCTTCTTTGTCCTCCCCTGCCCCAAATTCCCACGGATGTGGGTGATGGCAGCCTGGAAGGGAACCACAGCATCCGAAGGTGCTCGGCAGCCGCTCCCACCCTAGCCTGGTCGGCGCAGATCGCCCTCCCGGGGGAAGGCAACGCGCTTCCGCCCGCACGTCCCCCACGCAGTCCCCCACGCGGCCGATCCGGGGCTCCACGCCTCCAGAGCTAGGATCCTGACTTACCCCTGGGCCCTGCTTGTTCCCGAGCCCTCGGAGCTCAGGGCCAGGAAGATCAAGCAGAGACCTTCAAGAATGACACCCGCAAGCTGGGCCTGGGTTTTCACAGACACGGCACGCGCGCACACACATACACACACACTGAGAACTGGCAGCCCAGAACTAGGGGTCCCTTAGCTCCCACCACCTTAGTAAGGGCAGCACGGAGGAGGCACCCGTCTAGAGAATGCATTCATTCATTCATTCATTCATTCGGATGTTGTCACACCTGCCACCCTAAAGGCTAAATTCTCCAGTCTCGGGGCCAGTGCAAACATTAGTATGTCAGGTGTCACACGCCTTCAGTATCTCCATTTTACAAAGAACATTGCTGAGACCTAAGAGGCCCCAAAGATCCCAAAGCGCATGCTTTAACCTGGCTTCCTGTTTCCTTCCGCTTTTGAGCCTCACCACAAACCTCAGAGGAAGGAGACCCCCTCCTTTGAAAGCCTGTGGCTTACATTCTGTGCTCTTAACCAGATAGGTGACGAGGTCCAGATTCTCCTGGCCATATTTTTTTTTTTTTTTTTTTTTTTTTTGTCTTGTATGTTTGTCTTGTCTCTGTGTGTAAGCTTACGGGTAGGTGCCCAGCTTTACAAGAACAATGCCTTGCTGTTCTTGGAAATAAAAGAGACACAGGCTTGCTCTGTGGTGGTGCTGTGGTGGTGATGTTACTCTTCTGTGATTTTCATTCAGTCTCCGGAGCAGGTCCTCCCCAGATTGCCCTCCCTCCACCCCAGCTCCTCGGTCCATTCAAAACAGACTCACCTTTGAGCTTTGAAACTCGCCTGTCTGCAAACCTTTCTTTACTCAACCCGGCCCAGACAGGGTCACTGCTCTTTATTCTGTGTGTTCTCTTCTCTTACTGGTTTTTTGTTTGTTTGTTTATCTAACTAAAACAACAACAATTAAAAAAAAAACCTTTTGTCTTGAAGAAGGTCTTCAGTCTCACCAAGGCAAATGAGGACAGAATTTTGAGAAGTCCAAAAAGCCTTCGATGAAATCCAACATAAATTCACAATTAAAAAAAAAACTATAGAAGGTTCTTATCTTGCCAGGCACACCTGTGATCCCAGCGCTTGGAAGGCTGAGGCAAGATTGCCATGAGTTCAAGGACAGCCTGAACTACATAGCAACACCCTGTTGCAAAAACTTAAAAAGGGAATTTAGCTCAGTGGTGCAGCGCCTACCGGGCAAGTGTGAGGTCCTGAGTTTGAATGCCAGTACCCAAAATAAACCTTAAAGAAAAGGACCTTATAAAAGTCATTTATGATAAACTAATAGCCAGCAGCCAACTATTAAGTAGGAAAAAGCTGAAAGCTTTCCTTTAAAATCAGAAACAAGACTAGGATGGTCATCATCACCATTACTGCTCAATATACTTCTTGAAATATTAGCCACAACAATCAGGCAAGAAAAAAAATAAAGGACATGTGTAGGAAAGGAAGAAGTCAAGTTATCATTATTTGCAGATGACATAATCCTCTGCAGAAGCAGCCCCAAAAGACTCAGAATTAATAACCAAATTCAGCAGTGTAGCAGGGTACAAAGTCAACACAGAAAAATCAGTAACATTTCTGTACACCAATAAGAAACTTATGGAGAAAGAAATTAAGGAAACAACACTTTTCACAATAGCATCAAGAAAAATTAAATACCTATCAAGTAACTTAACCAAGGAAGTGAAAGAGCTTTATAAAAAAAACCCTACAATACTCTGAAAAAAGAAGATAAAAGAGGATATCAGAAAAAAGGCAGATATCTTCTGTTCCCGGATGGGCAGAACCAGTGTGGGCAAAATGGCCATGCTTCCAGAACTGATGTTCAGACTTAACACAATCCCAATCAAAGTGCCAGTAACATTCCTTACAGAACTAGAGAAAGCAACCCTAAAATTCATACAGAACCAGAAGAGACCTAGACTAGCAAAGTAATCGTGTGCAATAAGAGCAAGCTAGGAAAACCAATAATTTTGGAGTTTATTTGTACTACAAAGATACAGTGATATCAGGCTGGGGATTTAGCTCAGCGCCATAAGCCCCTGCCTTGCAAGCAGGTGGTCGTGAGTTCCATCCCCGGTACCAAACAAAACAAAAAAAGATACAGTTCTATAAATAATAGATATGTAAATCAGTGGAACAGAATAAAAGATACAAAACAACATTCTAAGCACTAAGCACATTCAGCTACCTGACCTTTGGCAAAGGGACCAAAAACATATGCTGGAGGAAAGATAACCTGTTTAACAAATAGCACTGTGGAAACTGGTTCTCCACATGCAGAAGATTGACTGTAGACCCGTATCAGTCACCACATACTAGACTAAGAACAAAATGGGTCAAAGACATAGACATTGAAACAGGAACACTTAATCTGCTGAAAGCTAAGATAGGTAAAACTCTTGAAGATGTAGGCGTAGGAGAGAACTTTATAGACAGACCTCAGCTGCATCAGACATAACACCAAGAATTAACAAATGAGAGCATACCAAATTAAAAAGTGTCTGCATGGCAAAGGAAACAATCAACAGCGTTAAAAAACAATCTATAGAATGGGGGGAAAGTTTTCCAGTATTCCTCAGGCAGGCGACTATTTCTAGAATGTGTAAAAAACTCAAAAGAATTAGGCCTGCCAAAATAAAAGACTCAATCAAAATATGGATAACTAAAATGAACAGACACTTCTCTGAAAAAGAAACACAGATGGCCAGTGAAAAACGTTCAGCATCTCTGGCCATTAGAGAAATGCAAATTAAAACAACACCGAGGGCCAGGCACAGTGGTGCATGCCTGTAATCCTAGCACTTGGGAGGTGGAGGCAGGAGGATCATCTTGAGTTCATGAGTTCAGGGCCAGCCTGGGCTCCATACTCAGTTCAAGGCCAACCAGTACAACCATTGTGGAAATCAGTATGAAGATTTCCTCAAAAAACTGAAACTAGAAACCCCACTCAACCCAGCGATTCCCCTCTGAGGTATCTTCCCCCAAAGAGTTAAGTCATCACGTTGTAGTGACACGTGCACACTCGTGTTTATAGCGGCATAATTCACAACAGCTAATCCCGTGCACACTCGTGTTTATAGCGGCATAATTCACAACAGCTAAATCTTGCAAGTGGCCTACACATCTATCACCAGATGAATGGGTAAAGAAAATATGGTAATAAAAATGGCCATGGATTTAGCTCAACGGTGTAAGCACCTGTCCAGTAAGTGTGAGGTCATGAGTTCAATCCCCAGCACCAAAAATAAACAAATAAAAATGGGCATCTGAGATGAATACACACTTCTCAGATAAAGAAATACAAATGTCAAAAAATATGAAAAGATATTCAACATCATTGGTCACTCAAGAAATGCTAATTAAAGCAGGCTGAGATTTCATCTCACCCCAGAAAGAAGGGGTTATCATCAAGAAATCAACTAATAACGAATGCGGGAGGGGTTGGGAGGGGAAAGGAACCTTTCTCCACTGTTGGTGGGAGTGTAGACTGGTGCAACCACTGTGGAAATAAGTGTGGAGAGTCCTCAAAAAACTAGAATTAGAGATCCCATTCGACCCTGCTATTCCCTTTCTGGATATTATCCCAGAAGAATTAAAAACATCATAGCACAGCAATATATATGCACCACTGTTTATAACAGCAGAATTTATAATAGCTATATCTTGCAAACAACCCAAATACCCATCAACCAAGGAGTGAATAAAACAGATATGGTATTTTTATACAATGGAATACTACTCAGCTATAAAGAAGGACAAACTCAAAGTTTGTATAGATAAATGGATGCAACTTGAGATCATACTCATAAAATAAATCAAAACTGAAATAAATCAGACTCACACACAGAAACATCATATTTTCTAGTGTAAGAGACTGAAAAAGTAAATAAGATTCAAAATGTACAATAGATACTGTGAAAGGGGAAAAAACTGCCCAAAACTCACAGCGATTCTCCTGCCTCACCCTCCTGAATGTTGTGATTACAAACAACAGAAATGGGGGAAAGGAGAAGAGCAGGAACAAGAAAAGTATAGAGAGATATAAACACAAAGAAGGCTAAGAGAGCTATACTACTAAATTCTATGAATTTATTGAAAAATAGTTTGTGCTTATATTGTTTGATCAATTTTTAGTGCTTATATCTTGTAATCTGATGGACTGACAATATGCAATATATGAACCGTTGTTAATTTCATGTTACCTTGTTTTGAAATTCTCTATCATCGTTTTTAGTGTTTTGCTCTTTAAAATAAAATGTGATATTTGCACACAATGGAGCCCTAGTCTGCCACGAGGAAGGGCACGCCTGAGTCCCTCGTA